TGCCTCAGTTTCTTCATCTGCAAAATGAGTTGGAGAAAGAAATGGCAAACCAATGTGGTATCATTGCCAAGAAAACCTTAAATGGGGTCATGAAGAGTTCGACACAACTGGTTAACAGCATTTTGCAAGATTGCCGTGAGGATTAAATGACATAATATTATCTCCTTGTGCCCCACAAAGGGACAGATTAAGTGTGTTAATTTATTATTTTAAATTTACTATGTTAATTATTAAATTAACTTTCATTTGCATTTTTAGTCTACTAAAAACAACAACTTAACACAGTAAAAGGATAGCATATTTAGGACAATTGTCATTTTGTAAAAGAAAAATACATTATATTTTAAAATTCAGCAACTTTAGAAAAAAATACTTTTCCAGGCGATAACCCGTGAATGTCTATATTTGTACATGTAACATTTTTCTGTGTGTGCGGTAAAGGTTTTAGTTTGTTTTGTTACTACTTGCCCAAAACAAAAATAACCTAGATGTTAAAGATTTGTATTTTTTCCAATTCTTGTGTCTAGAACTCTGCAAATGTTTTTGAAGGGAGTATCTATATCTCTTGTCTTTTAAAAAAAAAGTCTGTATTTTTTTTCTGTGACTTTTCTTTTCATGAATTTGAGAGAAAGATAGTGAGCTCTGTGATACAGAAAATAGTCAATCCATCCACATCTGTTTATAATGTGCAACTCTACTTAACAGCAGTGCACTTAACAGCACAGAGTGTAGTGCTTCGTCCAGGTGGTGATCTAGGGCAGGAAAAGGTGAAGCTCTTTGGAGAAGGGAGGGATTTCCCCAGTGGCATCTGCAGCAGCTATGGGTCCCTGGGTTGTGGATAATAATAAAACCACCAGAAGGGGCTGACGCCTGTCACAGAATGGAAGAGGTTGGGAACATGGTGGCGAGTAGCTGGCATTAAAAGGTGAAGGTTGGAGATGAGCCCTGTGTGATATTAAGAATATCAACTAGGGTCTCCCACAATAGGGGATGGGTTCTTTTCTTTCAAAGGCATTAAAACAGTTCCTGAGACTTAACTGGCTCTGGAGACTAAGGCTCAGCCTTGATTGCTTGAGGACAAAAAACCAGAAGTTACTGCTGGACCCTGAGGCTTGACTAGTGGGATCACCATGGCAAGGAAGGGGATCTCAAATGAATAGGAGCTATATCCTTGACTGAATAGTCTTTCTTTGCTCTGAATGTTCTTCCCCAACTATGACTAAATAAATCTCCTTTTGTTAATGATTAGATGAACTATTAGTATTCTATGTCATTTAATCTCCAACCTGAGTCCTTCCCATCCCTAACTGGTTTGGCTGCACACTCCAATGGGTCATCCCACAGCCCCTTGGCTGAGTGCAATACAGAACTGTCTGAATGACCTTACTTGGAAAGTAATTATTCATGGCTAATATTAACTTGGAAGGAGAACTCCTATGGAATGCCCCAAGGTTCTATGTTTGGTTCTGTGTTGTTGTTGTTGTTTTTTTTTTTATCAGTGGCTTGGATAAAGACATAAATGACATGCTCATCAAATTTGCAGATGATAGAAAACTAGCTAACACTATGGATAACAGCTCTGATCCAAAAAAGATCTTACCAGGGTAGAGCCCAAGGCTAAATCTAGTAAGATGAAATGTAATAATGCTATATTTAAAGTCTTACAAATGAAAACAAAAATTGACTACCCAAGTAAAGGATGGAGGAGGCTTGATTAGACAGTAGTTTGCATGACAAAGATCTGGATCTTTTAGTGGACTAAAAGTTCAATATCAGTCAGTGGTGTGACAGGGCAACCTTATGAAGTAATAGGTGCATTGTACTCTGCCCTGGTTAGATCACATTGGAGTATTGTGCTCGGTTTTGAGTGCCACAGAAGGACATTAATAATATGGTCAACATGTAGACAAGGGCAGTCAGGATAGTGAAATCCCTTTTAATAAAGTCCTTTGAGGATAGGTTAAAGGAACTGGGGATTCAGGAGGGCATGAAAACTTTCTTCAACTATGTGGACTGACATGTAGAATGAGGATCAGACTTATTCTGTTTGGCCGTAGAATATAGAAAGCAAATCAGGGAAGCTGAAAAGACAAAAATTTAGGTTTGTTAGGAAAAATTTCTAAACAATTAAAGTTTTTCCAAAGTGTAATGGGTTTAGGGATATGGCAGATTCACTCTCATTGGATGTCTTCAAGCAGAATCTGGATGACCACTTATTGGGTATAACATCCATTCTGAAGCCACTTCCACAACCTGTACTTGATCCAAGAATTTGGTTTCTACAGTTGCTACTTACTCCCTTCTTCAGGGCTCTAGTGAAAAATCTAAGGAATTGGGATTTCTAGTGCTATTGTTCTTGAGCCCCCATTGGTGTGCTTCCTATTGACTGTCAGCTAGTAGATCTTAGCAAAGGTCTTTTTTTTTTTTTAAACTAAGATGGTGGAGTAAAAACAACTGGTACCAAATATGCCCAACAAGAGGTACACTCTTTCTCTGGAAATGCAAGATCACTGGAAAGAGTAGGCTGAAACTTAAAGTACAAAGGGTAATGAAACATATATATATATGAAACATGTGGCAAAGAGGGTGCTTCACTGGCACTGGGAGTCTCTTTTCTCTCTTTGTGGAGAACTCATGAAATTCCTCTAAATGTAGCTCCTTGCTGGGCTCCCATCAATTGAGTCTGTAGCTAGAATTTTCTGTCATGAGGGGGCCCAATCTCTGAAAGTGTTGCTTCTCATTGATGACTATCTTTTTGTATCTGTCTGTGTCTGTGTTTATCCACGTAGTTCGTTGGTATTCCTCTTTGCTCCTACTTTGGTGTGTTTGTTTATTATTCATCTAGTCTATTCAATAAAATGGTCATTGGATGAGGGAGGGAGTATAATACTGGATGTCAGATCCCCTCCTTTCTCTGTCACTCCTATCTTTTTACTTCTCTGTAGTACTAGCCCAAGGGTCTGCCTACTCAAGGCACTAATGAGCCTGAAGTCCTTCATCATGTGATTATGCTATACTAAACTGACTTCCTGTTTTATACATATCCCAAGAAGTATGATTTGATCTTCTCAACTATAATAAGATCTTGCCTATGTGGCATTACCTAGTTCTCATCCAATGGCCCAAAGTCCTATGGTCTTTTCAAATTGATTAAGATCTTGGCATTCCTTAATGCCGAATTCACTCTATTGATTTATTGATCAATTCAATTAAGTTGTCTGTACCTTTTGTGAATACATTAACTAGGTTAGGGGTAGAAATTCCCACCCTTACCTAGACATAGTATAATGGTTATTACTTTTGGGTACAATTTGGACTTAAGAGTTACAGAATTCTGTGATTCTGGACTCTTTATAAGGAAAGAAGTATTTTGAATATCAATTCTCTAAAAACATTCAAAACTATAGTATATTATTCATTTTGTTGAAATATAACTTCTACCTTCAGACATATGAAATATGAAGCTTCAGATATATGAGGCTATTCAGAAATTGATGATGTTTCATATATTCAAGTTATTAAGAACTTGCTTTCCTTTCCATACCTTAATGAATATAATCTAGTCAACTAAAACATAAAAAAGTTTTTGTAAGTGTCATTTCATAAACCTAGACTCTTTGTGGTTTGCCTGAGCTGAAATTAACTTGATGCCAAAAGAGGATGTTTAGATAGTTTTCACAGTCATGTGATACACAAGGAGTTACTTCTAGAAGGAGCATGAATAAAATAGTTTCTCAAGTACTTACTATATATACTAAGGTGACCATGCTTCACCTTTTCCATGCCATAAAGTCCCTATCCTGAAGTAAAGCTCTTCTTTTATTTGGTAGTGAGGATTTTAGGTCTTAAAAGACTTTTTCTTTAGCTAGAACCTTATCATTATATGTAATTATTTTCTTTTCTTTCATAATTAGACCCTTTCAAATGCTTTTAGAGTTCATGTAGATATCACATGATATCATGTGACCAAAATATTTGTCACAAGATGTGGAAAAACCCAAATAACATCACTGTACCTTTAAATAAGTAAAGGCTTAAATTTCAAACAGCTATCTAAGTAAAACACACATTTTAAGACATCAGTCTTTATATAGATATGAAAATTTGTATTTCAACAAATGAAATACTTTCAAAGATTTCCCAAGAGCAAATTCACACATTATAGATACACACTTGCTTTATTGATAAGCTCACAGTCAGGCACTCAGAAATACACCAGTGTATGATTCCTGTTGTGTGCAAAATTCATTTATTAGGTGAGGTGTGTTGGGATGCAAACCTTTAGACCATTTCAAAAACCCTGCTAGTCTCCATATTTAGTGAAGGAAAATTACTCTAGAGCACTCAAATCCTATTTTCTATACAGATCAGAGTCAATCACATTCAATAACTTTTGTAAGTGAAAAAGATGGATTTTTGTGAGTATGGGAATTTTCCCATTGCTGTATTGTATAGCAATTCCTAACAAATCCATGGTGATTGTTTATTGGTGAAAAGCTTTGGAAGGCCAGATGGAGTGGTTCATGTTTGTAATACCTGTTATTGGAAAGGCTTGAAGCTGGTGGATCACTTAAGGTGAAGAACTCTGAGCTTCAGTGGGCTATGGCATTTGACAGTCTACAATCAGTCTGGCACCAATATGGTGAAACCCAGGGAGTGGAGAGCCATCAGGTTGCATGAAGAGGGACACCCTGTTCTAGGCTGGCAATGGAAGTCAAAGCTTTCATGCTGATCAGAGAGCATTGAGGGCTCATGATTGGTGGCTGGACTTCCAGTCTAGTTGAAAGAGGAAGATCCAGTCTCAAAAAAAAGTGTCTGAGTTTTGGAGAACTGACATTGTTTGCTTGTTTGAAAATTTCCAAAGGATATTTTCTTCATCTACTCTAAAGGGAGAAAACTTAATTCTTTAAAAAGTACCAAATACTTAGCTGAACACTTTTTAAAAGCATGTTAAATACTAAATGGAAAAAATGAAGAATAAAGAGAAAAAGAAGCCTTACCTCTGGATCTACATTGATAATCTTCCTATCTCTCTTGTATTTGAAGAGCAAACCATCACAGTTTTCAGCAATCACTTGATAATTAGGACTTGAGTTCAAAATAGCAATGTGGCTATCCCAGTTGTAAAAGCTATAAAAATAATATAATATTGATTAAATTGATATAACATTAAATTACCTACTGTGAGTCTGCTGGCTTTGAATGTGGAAGATCTGAATTCAAATCCTGACTCTATCATTTAATACCTGTGTGACCTTGGGTAAGTCACATAAACTCTCTGGGCACTGGTTTCCTCTTCTGTAAAATGAGAGGGGTAGACGAGATGCTTTCTATATTCCTGGTTCACCTCCTCTGAGCCAAAACCTAATCAAGATCCTGCTGCATACTTAAGATTAGTGAATAAGGCCATGCAACACATTAATTAAGAAAGGATAGACAGAATCCTGTAAATTAAAATTCTAGAGAACAAGCCGGCCTAGCCAGTCAGGCAATATATATTTGTTAAGCACCTTCTAGGGATACAGATACAAAAAAAGAAGATCTGTGCCCTCAAGGAGCTTACAGTCTAATGGTGGAAGATGAAAGGAAGTTGACAAGGAGGTAGGGAGATATGGTGGAGATCAGAGAAGTCTCAACGTAGTGTAGCCAGGTAAGAAATGAGGACATATCTGAGCTGAAGTCTCTCCTTAAATGAAGATTTGGAGTTCATGGCCTGACCCTCCAATCAGAGAGGCAGAACCTAGGAGGAATGGGAAACCTTTCAGAATAGAATCCAGAAGACAATGAGAAATGAATCTCATGAAGTAGAAAAAGGGGATTTTCTTTTTTTATAATATATTTTATTTCCATCTTAAAAAAATCTTTTAACTTTTTAAAAAAAGTTTATGTACAAGAAAGTAAGAAGGCAGTAAGAGCAATTTATGAATTCAAGTCATAAGCTCAGATGAATTATATTTTGGGCATGAAAAGAACTACAAAATGTAAGTGCTGAGCTGTTAGAGATCTCTGAAAGAAAATATAGAATGGGAAAGAAAAAAAAAACAAAGGCTGTCTCTATTTTCAGAAAAGGAAAGAATGGAGTCTGCCAACTACAGCCAATGGGCTTGATGCAAATTCCTGGCAATACCTCATTAAATTCCTAGAATTCTGCATTAAAGGGATGAATAATGAATGTATTGAAAAGGAAGTGGTAAAAACAAAGAGACAGAATGGTTTTGTCAAACAAAGGTCATGTTAAAGCAACCATTTTTCCTTTTTTTATTAGACTTGTACACTAGGGGGATGTGGTAGATACAGTTTACCTAAATTTTAGCACACCATGTGACATAATTACACTAATCATTTGGAAAAGATTGAGAGATGTGAAAATTAACAATCTTGATGAATGGTGGAATCTGAAAAGTAGTCATCAGTGGCCTGATATCATCTTAAAAGGTCTCCAGTGGAGTGCCCAGCTGTTTGGCATGTGATGTTCACCAATGAATATCAATGACATGGTGCAGATGGCGCACATTAAATCTTTAGATGACATAAAATTGGTGGGGATATAGCTAATACTCTAGATGACAGAGTCAGGACTCACAAATCTCTTTTCAGGTTAGATAGAACATTCCATGGAATCAAATAAGATTAAATTTAAGAAAGATAAATATAAAGTTTTATGCTTAGGGTCAAGAACCAACTTTATAGGAACACAAAATCATAACTTCAGTGCTAAACAGATTATGAGTTCATCTGGTTTAACCTCCTCATTTTAAAGAAGAGGATACTGAGGTTCAGAGTATTCCCATGGGCATACAGGTAGTGTCTGAGCTAGAATTCAAAGCCAAATATTACGACTCAGGAGCCAGTATTTTTTCTATGATAGAGAGGACAAGTCTGGATACAATTTAATTTGAAAACTCTATGAAGGCTCTTGGGGGATTCTAAGCTCTATATGAATCAGCAATATGATGTGACAGTCAAGAATCCAAATGTAATCATTGGCTGGTATGTGGTATAAGAACAAGAACTGGGGGGCAGCTAGGTGGTATAGTGGATAGAGTTCCGGACTTGGAGTCAGGAGGACCTGAGTTCAAATCTGGCCTTAGACACTTGAAACTTACTGGCTACATGACCCTGGGCAAGTCACTTAACCCCGATTGCCTCAACAAAAAATACCAAAGCAAAACCAAACCAAGAACTGGAAAGTGACAATGAGACTACTTGACTCTGGTCAGACCACATCTGGAATACTGGATTTGGCTCTGGATGGTACATTTTGGGAAGGAGTTGATAAGTTAGATAACATGTAGAGGATGGTAATCATGGTGATGAAAGGCTTCAAGTTCATGCTGTATGAAAATCCAGTTGACCTGGGGATGTGGAACTTGAAGAAGAGAGGACTTTAGGTTGTCAAGTAGAAAAACAATAAGACCTGGTCTTTATTGATCTACAGGGCAATTGACAAGGGGCATTGACTCAAAGTGGCACAGAGATAGATCTAAGCTTTATAGAACGATAACATTCTCAACAATTAGGGTGCATCAAAGTTAGAATGAGCTGCCTTTCACTGCAAAAGCTGGATCAGTCTTTGGATATGCTATGGAAGGAATTCTTGTCCAACTGTGGGATCTTTGATCACATTGGGGCAGGTATTTCCTCTAACATTGTAATTATTATGAATAATAATGATAATTCTTACAAAGTACTTTATGTATATCACCTTATTTGAGTGTACAGGATCCTATTAAGTAATATTCCTCATTTTAAAGAACAGTAAACTGAAGCCCAAAGAGGTCAAATGATTTTTCCCAGAATCACACAGCTAATAAGTGTTTGAGGAAGGATTTGAACTTGGGTCTTCCTAACTCCAACATTTTATCCACTTAGCCCATCCATACCTGCTCATTTGTGTAATTCTCCATGCTCTGTGTAACTCTTGTCCATGTTCATCTGAGACACTCTACGCAATGTGTTGGGAACCCCTGGTTTCTTGTGATATTATAATACCAATGGGGTTTTTCTGTCAACCACTCCTCCAGCAATGTTCTGGGGTTTGATGCAAACAACACGATAATGTCTGCAAATGGGATAATTTGAAAGGTTTTGCCATCTCTAGAGAATCCTTCTTCCGTAGGGGCTCTGTATCTACTTTTTTGATCCCATACTCCAAAAAGAAACTTTTTTTTATAATATATCCAACCCTGACTACCTTCCAAAGCAGCCCATTCCCCTATTGGACTGCTCTAATTGTTAAGAAGTTTTCCTGACAATGAGTCTAAATTTGCCTCTGCTCCTAGTTCTGTTTTCTGTGGCCAAAGAGAACAAATTTTCCAAGTGATTGTCTTTAAAAAATTCAATTGGCTACTTTCCAATATTAATGTCTTTTCTAAAATGAGCTACTTGGAATTGAACACACTATTCCAGAGGTGGTCTGAGCAGGGAAGGTAAGGGCACAGAATGTTGGGTATTACTTTTAATCTTTTCTAATCTTCAGAGACTCCTGCTTGACACACAAGTTCTGCTAATAACTTCAGAAACACCAATTCCTAACATACCCCCAGATATCTATCATCCAGCCCTACTGAATTCAACACAGAATTTTTAAAAAGAGCAGGTTCCTTTCATTAGTTAGTTTATCTTTCCACTGTCATGTCACAAATGGTCCTTTCTTTTATTCTTTTTGATCCTGGACCTTTTGGCACCTGGAGGAATTATAACATGCCAAATTGGGTAATCAATCAACCAACCATTTACTGAATGCTTGTTATGTGCCAGGCCCTATACTAGATGCTGGGGTACAAAGACAAATAGTATTTGTCTTCAAGAAGTTCCCTGATTCTCCTGCTCTCAATTCTGTCCCTATCCATTAAATAACTATATTTATATTTGTATATTTATATAACTAATATATATTAGCTACGAAGATATCTTATTTCTCCTACTTTTCCCTCCTAAATTTGTTTCATTTTTTTTTCTTTCTCCACATTTTGTGTCCTAAATTTCTTCAACAGAATCTTCTGTTTGTCCATGTCCATCATTTGCTGTAGATTCTCTATTCTAGCTTGTCTTATTCTCATTGATTGCTTCTTTGCAGTTCTACTTTCTGTCCTCATTTCTACCTTTCTTTCACATTTCTTTGTTTGCTGCTTTTGTTACTATTTTCATTCAGTACGGAGACTCTAAAACATTGCCATATTTCTCCCTTTCTCAGAGATTTTCAAGTCAATTTTATTTGTCATAATGCTTATTGTATTGCTCCTATTTGGTCATCCACTGGGACAGGAAGGCCTACTGAGGCTGGCATTTTGCCATCCATTTTGTCATTGTTCCTTCCTACCAGGAGTGGTGATAATCTGGCCTAGGATTGCCAGAGATCATGTCTACAATTTTGAGATTCTTCTGGGGAGTTGAGCAGGTACCCCATCTAATGCTTGGGACATGAGGTCTTACCCAGCAAGGCTATTTGGCCATTGATCCTGCCATTGAATATGTAATACTGCCTTGCTCCCCAAAGTACAATTTTCCTTTGCTTTTGCTTTGGGAACAAAAATCAGATAAATATTTTTCTTACTAATGGAAAAGGCATAAAAATTTACTGACCTATTTCTCTACTCATAATTCTTGTGATGGCCTAGATCAAAACTCCTTTCCAAGGTCACCATTTCTACATTAGTGTTATATAAATATGCAATTAAAAAAAATTTTAAGTACCCGAAGAGTGGTGACTTTCACTTTTTATCTTTATATCCTTGATACCTGGCACACAGAAGGTATTTAATAAATATTTGTTGATTGATTGGTGAGGGAAAGCAGAGCCTTTTCATCTTTCTTCAAGCCTCCTATGCCATCCTTTCCACTGTCTTTTTCCCAAACCCCAGAAAAGTTCTTAAATCTCTTAGATTTTGTGGACATGGATACTTCTGGATCATTTCTAGACACATGCTCAAACTTTGTGGGATATGATGTGACCCATACACTGTAACAGAAGTTCTGCATAACTGACATTTATCAAATGACAACCACAGACTTCCTCCATCACTATCATCAGTTTTTCCTCATGTTCTTCCAAATAAAATAATATTATAAGGTATAGCAACAATTCCACATAGTTCACGGCTCAAACTATTTTTTTCCAACTTTTGGAA